ACTCTCATTCACTCAAGTGTTAATGCTTGCATATTTTCAAAATCTAAATATTAAATAGGTGGACAACTGTATGGGTGGAAGTCAGATTGGCTAGAAAACTATACTGAAGCTGCTAGATCAGCTTAAATTTGTAATGAGTGCGTTTGTGAATTTGTGCCCGTGTATTAATGTGTTATTGTGTGTCTTACAGTCTAGTTTCTGCCGCAGTGGGTTGGTTCCGTACAGCAGGACGTGGGCTTCAGAGTGGACCGTCTGTAACTCCTCCAGTGAGGCCTTCCTGCCACGGATACACTGGTCAGCGAGTAGGATAGAGTAGAAGAAACAGATAGAAATAGAGAAGAAGAGAGAGAGAGATAAATTATGTATTTGGTTAAAACTCTGCACTTTACATTTAAATGGCCATAGTCACCAAAAGATAAAGTTAAGTGCTGCATAAAGGTGTTCACTTCTTTGAAGTTCAGGAGACCACTCATGAAGAAGTAGTGCATAAAGGGAGGCCCAATGGTGGCTGCATGTGTAAATAAGAATTTAGGAGGTGAAACTTTCAACCGATGACTTCAAAACATGCAGATGTTATTGGTAAATGTAATGTCACGTAAAGCCAAGCCTCAAGAGAAAATGGTTACACACTGCCCCCTTCTGGTCTTAATAACAACCTGCATGTCAGTGTTAAACAGTGGCACCATTTACAATCTATTTAAAAAGTATTTTGTTTTACAGATTTTAACAGAGCGAAAGAAACAACAGTAGATAGAACCTTGCTCTTTGTGCAGTGTAAAGAGGCCAAAATATATGTGATGTGCATTTGTAAAAAAAAAAAGAAAAGAAAACAAGTTAGTTTTGGCCTTTCTTGCAATTTACATTAAAAAGACTGAAAAGATAATAATTTGTCTTTGAATATCAGTTACTTGTCAGTTTGTTTAATTCTCTCCACTGTTACAAGACTATGCATGTGCCACACTTCCAGCATATTCCATGATTTTACGGGAAGATAGAGGAATGCAGCATACACACTGTAACGTGGATGAAGGAGGAGGACAGAATTGCACCAAATCAAAATGGCTAACATTTAATAACTGATTCACCGTTGCTCCAGGAGGGAACAATTCAAGTCTATTTATCGATTTTATTGTATCTATTCAACTCTGTGTCTTGTAATGTTACATCCACTGGGCCATGCCGCTGTGGTCAAGTGTCACTGTGGCTTTACCTCACAGTGCGCCCTGAGACCTGTTTCCTGTAGGCGGGACCAGATGCTCTGGATCCGGCCGGCATGCTCCGGATGAATGGTGGTGTTACCACACATACACTGGTGCTTCTGCATCAAAGAGTCATACACCAGCCCTGGGAAATACAAACACCATCGCACACAAACACACAGAGTTTCAGGGTAATTGTATATCTTTGGCAGCAAGGACAGGAACAGTTGTTTACAACAAGCATCCTATAATTACACTGGATGTCTTATGGTGTGATTATCTATTGCACCTGCTTCATCATAAACAAAAGGCCATGTGGAGAGGGGCTAGAGAGGTGAGGTGATTCTGTGAAGTAAATTATACATGTAATGGTTTATATTGTCAGGAGGGCCAGAATACAGCCTTGTGCATATACCACTGTAATGTATGTTGACTCATCATGCTTTGTGCCTTCAGGAAAAGAAAAAACTGCTGTTTGCTACTCTACTTTATCTACTTTATGATAGATCTATGTGAGAGCAGTACATGTGCCAATAAAAAACAACATTTTCATATTTAGCTGCAATGTATATGTGCAAGACCTTTGTTGGTCTTATTTTAAAACAGACCTGTGGTAAATCGAGGTTTGGCAGGCGGCTCCTGTACTACCATGGGGAAGGAGGCGGAGGCTGGAGATGACTGAGCCCTGGAGAGCGGGCGGTGTCCAGCAAAACTGACTGATAATCCAGCTGCTTCCATGGAGGCTTGGTAGTTCCTCAACTGGTGGATCCGCTGCTGCTCTAACAGCAGGGCCTGCTGCTCACACACACAGACAAACACAGAGTGACCTGTAGTGAATGAAAGCTGGACTGCGGTATCGTTCTCTCGCCAGAAGATGGCACTACACACTTGTTAATGCAAAGTTTCACAGTGACAGATCAGGCTTCTTTCTGTGCTGTACAGTAATCACAACACAACTACATAAATATGGTAGTATTACTGGGAAATCTGTCTAATATTTAAATGACAGGTTGTTCTATACTTAAAGCTGTCTTGTGACAAGGATAATGGACACTATTAATCTTAAACCACTTTATTTTTAACTGGACTTCACAAAATTATTTTTGACTTCATGTGATTGATTGAAAGGGTAGCAACACAGAACACACAGACAAATAATGATCCATGAAATTTGCTTTAAAAAGCAGCAAGCAAAGTGAGATTCTTCTTCTTTTTTTTTTTTACCGCACTCACATACACATACTCATGAATCTCTCTCGTGTAAGCACATGGAGACTTCACCATCTGTATGCACCTGAGTTTAATATTTGTGTGATCTTTCCATTGAGGAATCACACCAAGCAATCTTGCTGTACAATTCTGATGGGCGTGTCCGCTTACACTATGGGCACCATGGCGACAGTGAGAGGAGTGCCTGATTGAATTTGGCTGCGCGGACAGCAGGGATGGGCTAGACAGATGAGGACATGGTGTCCTGACTGTATATGGGCGTGCATGTGTGTATGGGCACAGACAGAGCGTGAGCAATAAAGCGATAGAAAAAGCTGCATGTGTCCACGGCCAAGTAATGCAAAATTGGAGACTCTGTGTGCAGTACAGAGTTTTTGTGTGGGTGTTTTGTGGGTTTTGTGTACAGTATGCATTGTGAAAGCATGAGAATGTGACTGTCCATGTGGAGCTGTGCTGGGGAGTAGTGTGGAGGAGGTACACATGCCCTAAGCCATTCATAAAAAAAACAAAACAAAACACTTCTCTGCATTAGTAGAACATGTGTATGGTGTGTAAGTATGTTTTGTGTGACTTGTTGAAAATATTTCAGTTGAGTAGCTTTAAATGTGTGTGTGTCAGGAGGGAATAAATGTAGAGTGTAATGTTTCAGTCAGTGCTAGCTCAATCTGTCACTGCTATCGGATAGTTTCGCGAAAAATACCCCACAACATTTAGGTAACCAGTGAAAAAGATTCCTCTAAAGTGTCTAGTTATAGTCACTTTGAACCTGAATGCATACACAAAGAGATAATGTTACTGAGATAGGATTTATTTCCAACTTGGGATGCATGCATGAATGAGTTTTACAAGCATATCAGTTTCATCTTCTTTCTTTTTATTTGTACTCTGGAGTTTCTGAAAAGCAGATTTCACAACCTGACATTCTCCAATTTCTATCACTCACTCTTTATCTCCTCTGCTCACCCTATCTTCTATCTGTGTATAATGTTTCCTCTTCCTGCTTTTCTCCCCTCTCTTTCATTTTTTCTTCATTTACTCCCACCTGCACCCGTCCTTCACCCCCCACCCCCCATCCTTACCTGTCGGAACAGGAAGTCCTGCTCCACCTGTCTCTCCCTCTCGTCCTGCTCTTGGGGGTCCGCGGGCTCCTGCTTGATGACCAGCCCTCGCAGAGGCCCCGTCTCCTGCACAGACGTAGAGGAGGAAGAGGAGGATGAGGATGCGAGACCCTGGTGCTCCCTGAGTTCCTCTTCTGTCTCCTCTGGGTGACTCTGGTGCTGCCTGGCCGGCCCCGAGGCGCTGGAGCTCGCAGCCGAGACCTGATCACTGGGCTTGGACATGATCTAAGGGACGTAAAAAGAAGATCAGGTGAGAGATGAACAGGCTTTAAATAAACAAAATCATGGAACAATCAAATGTTATGTGTCTTGTTATTGGTATGTGGCAATAGCAAGCTAAAACAAAGAACCAGTGGCGGTAAATAGCACAACTGGACACAGAGAACCATGTATAATATGAAATATGTTTGGCACTGTCAAAGACATAGGTTTGGTTTCAAAATTTCCTGTCCCGTATATATTTTAATAAATCGAGCGTAACAAAGCATGATCAAACTGGTTATGGTGCTTTCCACAATAATGGGAGTTTAACAAAAAATAGAATACTTTATGCTAATGTTGTATTTGCACTTTGCTCAACTATGTCACTTCTAGCACCTTTTTAGAACATTAACGGTGAATAAAAATACAGGGTAAATGAGGTTTTAAACTGAAAAACATGTCTGCAGTGCAGGTATTCCTTTCAGGTCGCATAAAGCCCCAAAAACCTTTACCAATAAGGAAATAACTGCTCTGCTCTTTCAGAGGAGATTTTAGTTAAAAAAAAACAAAAAAAAAAAACACTTGAAATATTAAAAGTGAGGGGGACAAAAATGATGATTTTGAAAAGTCAGAGGAAAGATGACCCCCCCCCCCAGCCTATATTTGAAGTTGAAAAACTGCCTCTTATGACCAATTAAAATAAACTACAACGTATGATGCCATACAACCTGCACCACAAAGTGACCGAAGATGTTTTTCATTCTAAAAATAGCTGACTGGGTAGTTCAAGTAAAAAAAAAAAATAAAAAAAACACAATGTAAAAGAAGAAGTTTAACCAAAAAAGGCTAAAATTAGCCAGGCACTTGCACTTTTTGTACACATGCAGATAAACTGGACACTCTTTATTTAAACTATTTATTTAAAAACTCCTCAAAAGCATCAAAATTCAATACAATTCAATTCACTGAGTTTCAAAACAATACTGTCAAAGCACCAATCTAATCTAATATAATCTCCATGACGGAATTTGCATACAGGTAGTTAACTTTACCATGCCTGGGCCTGAGCAAGAGGAGAAAACTGAGCAAAGGACATGAGGGAGAAAGAGGAGAAGAACCGTAGAGGGGGCGATTGTGGGATTCTTGTTGTGGCAGCTGTCCCTGTCCCTGTCGTCAAAGACCTCAACCTTGATGCGTAGGTCATGATTGGAGTGGACCACTGTTTGTGCATGGGACACACACACACACAGAAACACACAGAGAGACACACACAAAGACACACACAAAGACACACACACACTTGGCTGGCATATTGCCCGGGGAACAGTCCATTGACGTCAGAGGGCAGGCTCTTGCCTCATCCCAGTCCCTCTTCTCCAAACAAACTCAAAACACTCATCCACTCCCGCTGCACTGATTCTCTCTCTTCCTTTCTCTCTTGTTTTGCTCTCTTTCTCTTCTTCCAACCCTCCTTTTTAAAAGAGGAAATAGTTGCTGGCATATGAACCATGAGGGGGTCAGGCACTGCATAAGCCTGTTGAATCATGTGGAAGACGGAGAGAGGGGGAGGTGGAGAAGGGAAGGTGGTTGTACACACAAACACTTGACACTAGTTGACTCTCGTCTTTCTCTCTCACACACTTCCACAACAATATTAATTAAGTGAGCACATCCCACTATTGCTGTTGCTGTCTCAGGTAATTAGGTAGGCAGCAGACTCAGGTTGGAACAGTTTCAAGATTCTTTCGTTTCTTTCTTTGCGGCCAACGTGTCCGACTGTTAAAGCCAAATGTTAAGTTAGCAGGAAGGGCACCTTTTCAGTGCTGACTTGACTGAAAAAAGGAAAACAAGGAAAGCAGCAGATGATTCATGCCTTACACAGTGGTGGATGTCCAGTGGGGAAAAGGGTAGATAAATAAAACATACCATACCATACTGGGACATTTGTAACAATAGCTGGTAATACTGAACTCATACATACGGATCGAATGTAATGGCAGCCATGACGGTTTGCAGAGACATGCTGCTGTCTGGAGTATTGTGCGTCCTCATGTTAAATAGAAAGTGTATTGTGTTTCTGAATCTACATTTGCAGCAATCAACAGGATTTATGGGGGGGTATGTCTACCTTTTCCATTGTGCTATGTTATTCCAGAGACAGAAAAGAGCCAAAACAAAGGTAATGACTCCTTGACGTGTCATTTATTTATATTAAATTTTGTAAGAATGGAAGTACTGGGTATACAACTCCAATGACTGCGGAACTGTACAATTATATTAGAAAGACATACAATGCATTTAAAAACGAGCTGGATGGTTGCTACAGTGGGAGAAGAGCGAGAGGTGTTTGAGATGGTTGCATTTAGGAATCTGTAAATGCCTCTGTCAGAACCAGTTTTCCAGCTGTCACAAATAAAAACATTAAATTGAGTTGGCGGGATAAGGTGCCAATACTTTGGCTGTGTGCATCATCTGTGTCACTGTTACACCACTCACTCGCTCAAGGTTATTCTTGCTTAGTCACCCGTTCATGCTTTTGATAAAATAATACAAAGGTTTAGATGAATGTTACCAAACCACAGAATGTAACAGATTACACAGCCAAACTTATCTCAGAGAGTATCACATGTCAAGGTGGTTTCTGGCTGCATGTTGTTGGTGTGAGCTGAAAGTTGCTGCATCAGCTCTTGCTTCACATCAAGTGAGTTACTCACGTTTTCCAGGTGATATATGGAGCATGGGCTTCACACTTGAAATAACAGTTTACATCACAATGAAATGGTGCAGATCATTTAAGATAACTGACCTTTTCAAGCTATATAAAAAAAGTCTCCTGGCTGCACTGAACAACCATTTCAACTTGTCACAGAAGTTAAGTGAACACTTACAACTTGTGAAAAGCTGACCGAGCGCTTTTAATTTAAACGGTGGACAGTGTGAAAAATGGTGATAATTCCAATCTGTGTGGGAACATAAATGCTTCAAGTGTCCCTAAATGCAGTGAAATTGTAGGAAAAGAATGAGGCAACAGATACAGTAGGGACTACTGGACAGGTTGCCAGTCTGTGACAGGGCAGACATACTCGCTGTATAGACAAACATACAGTATTCACACCTACAGGCAATCTGGGAGAAGAGCAGAGCAGCCAGAGGAAACCATGCAAACACAGGGGAAACACACAAACCCTACACAAAGAGGTCTCAGCTGGCTGGCTAGCTGGCAGGTTCAAACCCGCTTCCTGTGAGGGAAATGGGCTACCCACTGCGCCACCGTGCCAGCCAGCCCATATTCCAAAATAAATTACAGTAATAATAAGCATATAATTGGAACAACTTAGAAAAGGTTTATATAGTGGAGCCGAACGTGATGCAACATCTGGAATGCAGAGGCTTGCAGATTATTAGTATTCATTATTACTGCACTGTGAACATGTGTTTATACCTGTTCCATGTTTATATACTCATAAAGATAATGAGGTAATCATTTCTAGTGTTGCTCTGTTGTAAAGTTACATGTTAGGTGCAGAATCTCAGTGATAGGACAGAAACGAGGAACGTAACCTGCTTGAATGGCAGATTTGAGAGATTACAGTGGTAGTAATTCTGCTGATAACAGGGGTTTACGCATGTGGTTTGCATTTATTGATATTATAAATGCCAAGGCCAAAGTATTTCCTCTTACTGACTGAACAAATATTTTGCCCGTTGTAGAAACTGTCTGCTCAATACTCTCTGTGAAGAAAGTGTTTTTATGAAAATTCAACATAGCACACAAATGTGGATGCACTAAAAAGCAGGCAGGAAGCAAACATTATTTGTTTGGAGATCTCAGTGCCAGTTACTGTAGATTTGTGCGGTGCACCAATGTATTAACTGGTTATTATCCAACTAGAACGCCTGCCGCACACGTTTTAATTAATATGGATCTACACTGAGTGGTGTGTGGAGTGTGATTTGCTATACTGAATCAGGGACAGAATCCTGTTTCACTCACGCACAATGAATATAAAGCATGGAGCCAAAACATGCTTTCACAAATCTCAATGATTAAGTGTTCAGTCCTTGAGAAGAAACCAACCACACCTACAACCTAAAGCAACGAAAAATGTAATGGTCCAATCATTATATGGTATTTTATGGTTTGAAAATAGTCATTATGGTTCAAATACAGTTTCTGTTTTTTAATATGCAATGCAAACTCATAGCTACAATTGTCATTTTAAGTTGCCTGGAAAAGAGCATTAACACAAATTAATGTTACATTAAAATAAGCTGGTTTTACACCTAATCTTGACTTAATTAGCTGAAGTCACAACAGCCTGGAGTCTACAAGAAGAGGGAGTCACCAACAGCCCAACAACACAAGCTAATGGAGCTTAATCCTACAGGAATTTCAGCACACACACACACACAACCATCTCCCTCTCTACAATGACCTTATAATGCTGCAAATCCCCTCATCACCTTGAGCGCGCGCACACACACACACACACACACACACACACACACACAATGATGCAGTGAGTCACATTTCCTGTGTGACCATATATGGAAGCAGCTTGTTCTAGACCACAGTTGCCAGGGTGACCGGGGGAGTAGTGATACACGAACACAGACAAGAAAGACTTGTTAGAAGACTTGCTGATTGCAGGCTGATTCATCCTGCTCTTGGAGCAAAGACAGGATTTACAGACATGCAGCCAAATCAATGTCATGTAGAAAAATACTCCTACACACACACACACACACACACACACACACACACAGCTCTACCACAGCTGTGAAATGTTGCCTTCTTGACACATGCACGCATAGACACATGCATTTATAGTATAAACACACACACACACACACACACACATTAAGCTACCTTGTTGATGATGTGCTGCTGCTGTTGGAACTGTTGTTTGTGTTTTTCCAGGAATTGCTGGTGCTGCTGCTGGACCACCAGCTGCTGCAGGGCCTGGGCTTGTCCACATTGTTGCTGGGGCAGAGGGGCTGACTGGGTTCTTCCCAAGGGACGATGGCCTCGCGCAAGTTTGGAGACAGAGGGTGATGGTAGTGGGAGGCCACCCAGACCAACTGTGGAAATCACAAAGTCAGTTTTAGGTGTACTACAGAGTTATTTTACCAGCTTCACTTTGGCTATATTTTGTCACTCAGGTAATACTGTGTTTGCAACAGAGGATTTTACTGGACAGGTTGGGTGGATTTATCTGTTTTCATTTCAGAGTAATTTAAAAATACTACTGGCTGATGTATCATGATTGTGCCCAGTAGACTCTGCTGTGTGTAGCTGTGTTTGGATGTCCTGAAATCACTGCAATTACACTACTGAGTAAAATGTTAGGATAGGATTGCAAAAATGATTCTGAGCTACTGGCTGCTGAGAAGTAATGAAAATAAACGTAATGCGTTGAATACTGACCAATTGGATTGTGGCTCTGCTCCAGCAGTACCATATGTTGGAGAAGGGGGTTGTGACCAGCCGTGCCCCCTCCAGCCCCCTCCCTGTCCAGAGCTGAAGCTGCCAAGTAGGAGGGCAGGTGGGCAGTGGGCAAGAACGGAGGGGTCAAAGGAATGCCCTGCTGTAACGCAGGCAATACCAGACGACTCTCACTATCTTGGTGTCCTGATACCACCTACAGAGAGAGAGAGAGAGACAGCGAGACAAGGACGGAGAAGGAAAGAGACAGGCATACACAGAAGGAGATGATGGACAGATGGACAGAGACAAAGAAGGGCCAAATGAGACAGAATGTGAGTGAGATGAAGAAAGAGAGTCAGAGTGAGAGAGAGAGAGACATGTAAGGCATCTTCATATCAAAAATCATTGATATGAGCGTTCCTTCTTTTTTAATTTTCTATGTATAAGTGAGAATCCAGTTTGTAATTTGCATACTCCGTGTGCTTAGACTGGCTTAAAAGATACCAACTGTGTGATTGTTATTTTGAATCTCTAGTAAACTAATCAGGCAGTGAATGTTGTCAGAGTACTTTCATGTATTCCACTACCATTAGATATGCAAGGGTACATTTTGAGTGCAAGTAAATATTCTTTGGTCTAATGAGTAATGCTGTAGTGTATCATTATGATGTTGTGCACTGGCTGAACTCACAGTGCTAGCAGGGCATGTGGCTGGTAGTCCCAGGGTGATGTTGGGCAGTGAAGGAGAGGTGTAGAGAGAGAGCTGGCTGACTGACCCTTCCCTTGCAGCCAACCTTTGAAGCAAGGAGGCCTGAACACAAACAAACATTACAGTGAATACTTACAACAGAGTTTAGAGACAAAGAAGTGACTGTGTTACACACAGTACATTACTTTGCCTCTATTATCATCACACACACAAACACGGACGCTGATGAAGGCCACAAGCCGGAACCTGTTGACCTCTTCAGACATTTTTTTCCTTCTCCATGCATGTTGGAAGTGGAAGGTGAAGCAGTGCCAGAAATCCTTACTCAGCTTCTTCACACACAAACACAGAGCTTGAGCTCTACATTAAAACAGACCTGCCGATCTATTTCTGGAGTCCTCTGATCACCTGTCTGTCTCATACACACGGACACCAAAAAGACACACATGTGCACGTGCAGTCACACACATGCAGACACTGGCAGCCATGTTGGTTACCTCTCCTGGGCTGCTGGAGATGGTGACCCCGTTCTCACTGGGGATGTTACTGGAACTGTTGTTGGGGGAGCTGGGACCTGAGCCTGGTGCACTGTTGCATACAGACTCTGAAACATAGAAATTACATTTATCTAACATGCTGCCCTGGGCCAATCAAAAAAAAAAAAATAGTTATTCCTTGTCCTAATTTTGCCATAAGCCCACTGGGGCTGGTTAGATTTTTTATATTCAAAACCCATTCACTGATGTTCCAAATATGGGGTAGAATATTTATCTAAACTTGTCTCTCAAAGGTCTAGGAAAATCTGATTCTGCACATTTTTATCACGATACCAAATTAAAACAAAAGTCGGGTAACAAGAGTGCTCACCTGCCACGTCTAGGGAACGCTTCTTGGCCGTATTGATGGGACCATCTTTCCTTCGAAGCAGAGGGCTGCTGCGGCGCTCAGTCACTTTCTGTTTTAGCCGGGAACGAAGCTTCAAGTTGGGCTCAGAGGCTAAAAAGACAGAGAGAAACACGGACAATATGGAGGATTTACTCAAAAAACTGAGAATTTTCAGTTTAAACCAAACTTAAAAGCAACGGAGACTTTCATTTACATTTGAAGAAACACTAATGAAAATTCAAAAAATTGTTGTCAATGTGTTTTTGTCATGAAATGTGGCTTATCCCATCCCATTAAACAAATGTGTAGCAGATAACTAAGTAGACAAAGATAAACAATGGCAGGACAAGGCAAGTATTTCACTTCCAAATGGGACACCCATTCTAAAGTTATTAATGTGTTACGCCCCAAAAACGCCGATTAAATCAGAAAATTACAGCTCCTATATAAGCTGTTGCTCTGGCGCTTCAGGGTAGATTGCTGGGCCACATAAGTAGGAGCTTGTTAGGGGGTATGTAGTGGGGTTAATGAGCTAGTCCCTATAGACCACACTGTATGTGTTGGCCGACAGATTCGAGAGCTGATGTTGGCCATCATCATGCGACAGTGGGAAGCGCTGGAACAAGAGGGAACGCAGCCAACTGCCATCTTTCTTGACCCCATGCTTAATGATGCTGCCTCCACACTCTGCTAATGAACACTGTTTGTTTACAGACACTTTCAATTACAAAAAACTGCCAGGGCCTTCATGTGTGTTGCATGTGTATGGGTATCTGCGTGAACGGTTCTATATTTCTTGGGATTCTGCCATCAAATGGATGCTGTGTGCTACATTGGCTAGTGCTACATTGGGGCAGGAGAAGAGGCAAGCGTTCACTATATACTGGTAATCTTGTCAGGTCAGGATAGGGCTGGACCTTTTCTGGCAAAACTTGCTTTGGTGCGTCTCTGCCAGACTGCCCCAGACACGGGCAGCTTTATTCTCTCCTCTACTGGCTTCCTTCCGTTCAATTAGTTGAAGCTGGATGGTTGACCATTGGTTGACCCTATGCTCGCCCCATGACCTTGTATCAAACAGACCGTGCTACGTTCATTAGCCTCAGAGAAGGAGCTTTCTGTTACAGCCAAGTGAAAGCAATTGAAATTTCTTTGTGTACTGTAGCAATTTATTGTTAATAAAAAATCCTTTGGCCCTTACTTCCGGTAGCCTTGAATGCTACTTAAAGGTAAGCTACACAAAGTTTTAATGTACTCATTTTACCTGCGGGGATGAGATGACCTACAGTGAATCTATAATGTCTTAAGTACATTTTCAAATGCACTTTCAATTTTAAGGGGAACATGCGGCTGAACTTATGAAACTCAATTATTTAAAATAGAACTTCTTCTAAGTGGAGGGCAATCTTCCGAAGTCTTTGTTAAGAGGGATGGGTCAGGATAAAATGCTATGCATTAGCTGGACAGGACGAGACATTAGGAGAAGGAAAGATCATGAGAATGGGAGCATAGTGAATTGAAGGTCAATTTTGTCTATACCACAGGGAACTGTGGTAGTTTGACATTTTGGTATTACGACAATCATTCCCATAACTATTCTAATACGACATAAAAAACTATTATTATTTTCTGATATGTTACATGAATATTAACGTTTGCACTTGCACCCAAGCATTCAACATCATTGATCTGATTCTGCAGATGCTTTGAACATCGCCATATAATAACCCTATAGTTTTGTTAATGATGAGAAGAGTTAATGAACCATGGTGCTCAGAATTAGATTAGATCCTAACTATGCTTATTATAGTAAGACTAGCTCTAATAAGACCCATGGTGTTGAAATTGCCACCATCAAAAGTGGACACAATTATCACTTGCTATGTACATAAACAAACATTTGACATATCCGTTGTTATGCTTTCAACATATAAACCAGGTGTCACAGGAAACATTGCTACCCATGACAGTGGGCTCCAAAGGTGACAGAAACTGTGAACAATCTGGTAGGAAGTCAGGAGAGGAGAGAGAAGGCACACAAAGATGGTGGAATGAAGGAGGTGGGTGGTCAAGGTTGTATTAGCGCATCCTGAGTCATTAAGAAATGGACTGATAAAAGGAGGAGTGGAGAGAGAGTGAGAAATGCTAGACAGAAGAATAAATGGAAGGTTAGAGGGAGGTTAGGAAGACAGTAAAGGAGAAAGAGAAGGAGGGTGAAGGAGGGTGAAGAAGGGGTGTGTGTTTGCTGGGCATGGGTCACCACAACAGGGGTGTTCGCCTCAGGACACAGTGACTTTGAAGGGTGTTAATGCCGACTGGGCAAAAGCACACCAGTGTGCACACGTGCGAACACACTCGCTGCAGAGGGCCCAGACTGGTTTTATTGCTGATGCTCGCATTTTGCTTTAGCCCTTTCTCCCTCCTAACCTCCATCAATCTCCTCCCCTCTCTCCCTTCCTCTAAATGCCCACTTCTCTCTTTCTCCTGGCATTACTTCCTCTGCCCTTCATTGCTGAACCTTTCTCCCTAGTTTTTTCCCCTACGCAAATGTGCACACCATGAACCAACTATTGGCAAATGTGGAAATGGTGCCAGTATATATATAAGTTTTTCAGATTTCCTGGCACATTCACTGTAACTTCCCAACTTCCCGAAATAACTACAACATGATGCAGATTTGTTAAACATATGAATTCATGCTTTGTCAGGTCTGCCAGCAAGACAGCAGGACAACATCTTCTAAAATGTTTGTTTTCTGAAGGGAGTTTGGATCGATCAGGGCTATGCTATGGTAACTTGGTCACAGTAAAGTACAATGATAGCTGGAACAAAGTTACAGGCACATTTTTTCTGAACTCACCAGGTATTTCAACCTCCTCGCTTTCTGTTCTCCAAGTAATGTCCAGTTTTGTCCGGTTTTTATATAAATATGAAGTCGTAGTCCGACAGAGCTAACGACGCTAACAACACCACTGGAACCGGAATCTAGCTGCCGAGAAGCTCCAGTGAAGATAAATCAACGTTGAAATCCCAAAAACTAAAGTAAAAAGCTAATTTAATAAAAGCAGTTAACTCCGAGCTCCTCCCGCGAGTAAACGGCGTAGTTGTCAGAGCAGAATCCGACTGACTACGGTTGTTTATTTGTCCAATGGTTGCAGCGCTTCTCCCTGCTCCTCTCCCCCAAGTTTAGCAGCTCTCAGCCGGCCAGCAGATTTTCAATCCCCCGCTCTGCCCGGCCCTCGCCACACAACACTCTGAAGCCTTGGTGACGTTCGGACAATCTCAACACTGATAGGCTATCGCGACTCAGCGTCATGCGACTTCTTAGCTTGAGTTTAAATATTCAACTTGCCTTTGCGTTGCCTTCGCGCTGCCCGACAGGAAATCGCGGCTCTACAAGTCTTTGCATTGACTTTTTATGTAAACTCACTCCCCCCTCGAGCGCTCGCTGCGCTTTTGGTCTGAAAGCACCATTAGAGAAAACTAGGGTTTGCAAAAGGCATCAAATATTTTACAAATCTATTTAAAGATGGAGCCCTTCAGACTTTTGAAGAGCTCTCCACCCAGTGCATGCTACCAGGCAATCACTTTTTAAAAAATACCCCCAGATTAGGCACTTTATCATCTCAGAACAATATGACCACCTACAATCAATAAGGGAACTGCCTCTAGATAAACTTGTGTGTGACAAGTAAAGATAAAGATAAACCAATAAAGATAATGATAAAAAAAAAAAATGTATAAAACCTGTAAAGCCTCTTTCTCTACCTATCTGATGACATATCAATACCAGATTAAACGTCTCTATAAGTGGTGCTTAATATTTCAATAGGGAGTGAAGGAGCAAACTGGTACTCTGAAACAAAACATATTGATCAGAGGCTCATCTGTTTTGTCAGATGGGATTCCCGGGCAGCAACAGTCATAGAGGTAGACTGAGGGAAGCCGTGCTGCTCTTCTAAGGAAGGGAAGAAAGAGATTTATTGAAATCAATAGAGTAGTTTGCTGAAGCTCATCAATGGAGCTTCCCAGAATTGTCACATGTTGATGATGCATTAGATGGATAAGCTAGAAGGACATACTGTAGGTAGACAGATAGATAGACAGATCTCATTTACATATTTTCTAGAAACATCAAAGCAAATAAACCAAGTGATGTTACAACTAATGAGGCCTTCTTATGGAGCTGACATTGAGATTGTTAAAGTCAGTGGCGTCCATCGTTGGCTGCTGTGACACCCAACAGTGTGAGTTCAAAGCAAATGAATGGGTTTGAGAATAGATGGACAAAACACCCGGCTTTTACCATTAAGTTTGGTTTAGTTAAATATCTGGAGGTGGTTACAGTCCACCTACAAGTCCAACAATTGCTGGGGATTCAAGTGTTTGACGACGACAACAACAAGGAAGTAATCTCCAATGACATCAGAGCAGATAGGTCTAATCTTGGTTGGTGGATTTAAAAGCAGGATGGAACAGAGACTACCGTCGTAAAAGGCATTATGTTGTAATGTTCCTAAGTGAGACACGTACCCACTATGTCACTCACTGACCTCTATGCTGAATAGGACAATGTAAAGCTAAGTACTGGATTAAAGTAAGAACATGGAAGTGTTGGATATGGTTCTGGCTTTAAATATTCAATGCAGTGTGGTATGGGAATGTGAGTGTGTGAAAGAGTGGGGGAGAAAGGGGGTCAGGTCATGACAAGTCTGTGTCTGTCGGGCCTAATAGACTTCCTGCCGCAGCATTCAAAGTGGCCCTCTGTGTTCTCAGAGCCATTATCACAAAGCCTCTCAGACTTGGACAATGATCCCCTGTTGTAATATACTGTATGCCCAGCCTCGCTTCTTCATGTATGTTTATAACTTACACGCATACATTGCAAAAATGGGTCACCACAGGCAAAAACGTCATGTGTGACAGCTCCAGTCGTCACAGCGGCGCACAACTGTGGTGACCACTGTCACTCACTTCCTCTTGAACACAGTTCATGTCTCTGTCTGCCTGTCTAATCTGATCTGTCTGCTCACTGTTGACACAACAGTTCCTCCAACAGCCGTGCCAAATGTGCGCACATGTCAGTATTCTCTGTCTGTCTCTCCTCATGACTGGCACAAAGACAAACAACACTACTTTCAAATCTCAAACTCCTTTTCTCCTGAAAATATGTCCTTTTCTTTACATATGCACAATGATACGTTTGTACTATAGTGCCCATTGTACTTTGTCTCAGTATGCACTGTGAAAGTTTTTCTGAATAAGTTGAAACTTGCTGTCTCAGGTTCTGTGCCAGGATAAATCATCCCTGCTTCCAGCTCACAGCAGGTGGGCAGGGGTGCAGAGAACACAGAGCTTGGCCTCCAGCTGTGAAAGCAGGCAGCGATACTGCCAAAGCAGCTGCTGACACTAAGTGAACAATCACAGCTTGGCCATACTTGACATGGATGGAAGGACGAACAAATAACAGTCTGATGTATCCAAAAGGCAGGAACTGTGGTTTTTACGTGCTTCCTAGGATACTTCTAGGACAGGAGTGGTCAAGGGCTTTTTTTTGTCTATGAAGGAGTGTGCCTGATGTGTTAGTCAATATCTGTATGTGTGATTTAAGGTTCTTTCACACATACATTGATTGGTCCGAACTTTCAGTCTTTCAAACTTCCATTTCATCCAAACAAGAATTACAGCCAAACCTGGTGGTCTCTCTCCAGACCAAACCGGACCATGGTTCAGTTTGTTTCCAAACTGTTTTTTTTTTTTTTTCTGGATGGTTCGGTCTTGATGACAGGAAGTTCACAGTCTGAAATAGTAGAATAGCCAATTGGCTTTTAAAGAAACACATTTCTGAATCAAAAATTCTATACCTGATGATGAAGCAAAAGGCTGAAGAGAAATAAGAAAGTAATTTCAGGCTCAAATCCTTGAATATTTCTACTTTCCGTCAATGTAAGACCATCAAACCAGGAAAAATTAGGACTATTTAGGACTTTTTTCGTAGCTGGGACCAGCGGAAAACACAACCCCCAGTAAAACTGTTTTTTGTACAGACTAGAAACAAGATGTTCTGTTGGATTTTGGTGGCTTTTGGTACCTTTAACAGAGCTAACTAGTTTATCCTGTTTCAAGTCTTCAAGCCAAGCTAGGCTGCTGACTCCAACTATACATTTACTGCACAGACATGAAAGTGGTGGAATCAAACTATCATCCATCTAACTCTCAGCAAGTAAACAAACTAGCATATTTGTCAAATTATTAACTATTGCTTTAACACAACTTCTAGTGTGGTTGCGCTCTCATTTACATTAGAACGATTCAGAAGACCCTCATGAAATAATCTGTGATAATAATATTTTAGGGGCTCTTTTTAATCCTCCAGTGGCTGACTCCTGGTGAACGTAACTGACTGAAACCTAATAGGCCATTTCAATTGCTAATGCGAGGAAAAGGGAGATTGGGGCTCCCCTCTAGACACGCAATGGGTGGCTGGTTTTAAGAGGTGGAGGAATATGAATGTCAGAAAGTAACAATACCTCAGTCAAACCTTGGCACCATTCTGTACCTGTTTTACGGAGAGGGAAGTCATCTTTTGAGTCGTATGTGCCCAGCATTGGGTGGTTGTACGCTGACAATGCTGTTTGGGGTGGAGAGCTCTGGTCCAGAGAGCTGTGCTGGGTTTTTCTACGAAAAAACAGATTAAAAGAATACATCAGTATAACACGCAATATATCAGGTTAGGTCCTGCTCACGTATGCTTGCCAAGCTTACTATATTCCTACTGTACCTGACTTTCCACACAAACACACACACGGTGTAGTGACAAAGACAGTTTCCATCTCCCTCCCCAAGGTCAACATTTTTAAATAGATGCAGCAGAGTGTGGACAACAATGTGGGTGGAATGGAGAAAGAGACAAAGAATAGAGAGAAGGGACTGAGACTGAAAGCTGAACGCATCCTCGGCTTGTCTTTTTCACCTTAAGACAGCAAAGAGGCTGATGCGTGCTTTCCATCTGAAAGGTGGGTAAAAAAATTCACAGAGACAGGGGTGAAAAATGCGAGAGGTGCAGGATGAGAGGAGGCTGAAAAGTGAATAAATCTATGAAAGAATAGAGGAGAAAGCAAACAGGTAGGAGACTAAAGAGATAAGAGATATTCTGATGTGGTGACAGTGATAGAGAACCATTTTCCTCACTGATGGCAGACTCTTTACACTGTTCTATCATCTCCTGTCTTGGCAGACATGTGTGACTGCTTAAAGCCTCTTCAAATATTTAAAGCACAGGAGAGGAGCCATTGTCTTTTCTCTATGCCCACTTCAAACACACCTCAAAGAGAGCCAGCTGTCAATCACTGACTACACGTATCGACAGAAAAAAGCTTCGTTCCTTCAAGATTTTCTCCGTAGTTTCACTCAAGAGGCAACTGGCGAGCTCTCTCAGAGATGTTGATGTTGGTAGCAGGGAGACCCACGCAGCAGGGGTCCACAGCACCGTAAAGTTTGCCATGATTGCAAAGCCACGATGATGATGAGGGACTTTAATGTCGCTCCTCACTGTGGATTTTATGTTTGATATTTCCCCAGTGTGGCAATTACTTAAAAAAAGGCAACATAGAAATGAAAGAAAACAGCAGAGGCTTATAATTGATCGCTTGGAAATATGAGAATTCATCTGTGTCGAACGTTTTTCTTTAAACCAGAAAATGCAAAAAAATAAAATCATAAAATAACATTTAAAGATCACTAGAAGACAGAATTTTGTCATTTCCATTTCTTTAAAATGTTGCCGCGGTGTAGAAGCTTGCATTTTGTTTTTTGACTTTACCAAATACCAAATGTGATAAGGATGCTTGCTATAGAAAGGATGCACATTTCTAATTTCAGGCAGAGGAATGTGTGCCTGTCTATTTCTCACACCCCTGAACAAAACTTGAATTTTGATTTAATATCGCATAAATTCCTCATTAGTGTACAACCATTCACATCACAAGCTGTAAGTGGTTTAGTAGTAGTGGACTGTGACACTCACCCATACCAAAAGCGCGGGTCGCTGGGCAGACAGTGATTTAGGTTTCGCTGAGCCAGGGCTTTCTTCTTGTTCAGGACAAACTCCTGCAGTCGCATCTTAACCTCCGTACTGGCAATTGCACCTGACAGAGAAAGAGAGACAGTATTGTTTGTTTGTTTGGCAGTGCCTCTATTGTACTGCACTTCCTGTCTGATCTGACACCAACATGAAGATTATAACACCATCCATCCATACTTTCGACAGATAACAGGTTTCGAGCTACTTAAAGAGTGTACAATCTTGCATCAGAGGTTCACTGAAATTCCACGGAGACAACAGAAGTGCTATGTAACTCGCCTCGAAGGCGAACATCATGTCTCTCCTCAATTACCACCTTCCGTTCGTAGCTACAAAGAAATTGTCCAGGGAGGGAGATGCGGAAAAGTGAGGAACTGAGTGAGGAGTGCAATGAAAAAGGCCAAAAAAAGGTGTTTTGAGAATATAGGAGAAACAGTGGAGGTGTGTTTTTCTATGAATGTGACAGTGGGAGTGATAACAGGTAATGTGTCATGCTAGATAGAGAAAGTGGTAAATATAGTAGGTGAAAGTGACAACAGCTAATATACGCTCTCTAAATCATTGTGCAGCTGGAAGAGCTGACATCCCAATATGTCGGTTTTGCCACTGAAGTAAATTGGCTTTTATGGGACTGCCTTCAGTGCAATTTATTGCAGTACTTAACAAAGCTTCCTCTGTTTACAACCCAACACTCTTTCCATAGACGTCAAACTAAGGCTCACTTTGCCTGGCAGAGAATGGTTAAGGAAAGGGACTTTACTGGCAGAAATCATGGCCCAAATGTGGGTCCACCATTAACTATATTCAGAAGATTTTGTGCCGACATGTTTGATAAAAAAAATCACCCCACAGCCTGCACCTAACAAAACCCTGCATCAGAGCATTTTACAGCCATACCAACAATAATCATTCTAAAACACAGTTTTAATTATCTGGTAAACTTTAGACATGAATTCTCTAGGAAATATCTCTGTCATCATTTTTGATTTGATTTTAACAATAGGAACTTAATAACTACTAAAACTATTAATACTAATGTACAAGCACTGAGTTAACAATAGTTTGGTTTTATTTCCTTTAACATTCAAATGTATCCAGCCATTTTAAAAAATATAATCAGGCCATTTACAAAATGTACACTGTGAGTAGTTGCACATGACGGACAACATGGTAATGCAAAGTAGCTGTGACTCAAGTCTTTAATGCCACCTTCTACTTATGCAGTATAAAACCCTTACAGGGACAAGTAAAGCAATAGGCTTGACACAGCTCAAAGAACAGTCACAAACATCTCCTCCTGCCAGAAAAATATGCAATTGTGTCTAAACTCATTTGACTACTAAAATCTAGAGAGCTTTGTTTGTCAGTCCAGAGAGCACTTTGCAGCAGGATCTGCATGACTCCTGACAGTAAAGGTCCCATCAGTGCTCTCAAATCCTAACAACAATCCTAACATTACAGAATAACTGTGGTTTCATAGGTTTTGCCAGCAGTTCTATCGGTCATGTTAACTTTTATACCCTAATATCATTGCTGGCATTTGGGAATGTGGCAACATTGTTAAAAAGTAGTAGAAAAAAAAACAAGCAGTCAGACGATCAGGCAGATTTTAAACAAATCCCCAGCATAGAACTTATTTGAAAGATAAAACAAAAGGTGAACCTTGAAATTATTACCCTAACTTTTCCATTGTAAACACCAATCACAGATTTCAGATCGACTTCCTAAACCATCTATGACTTGAGGAGGGAGCGATTATTACAAACATTTCGGGTGCGCTTTTGATTTCACCTCTAAATAAAGTGGTTTAGATGATCTGGCTCAACTGTTGGCTTGTTTCCTGCCTGCCTGATTGTCTGACAGCATGTGTTTCTGAATTTGCTGTAGAAATGTCACCGTGTTCCCAGATCTCAGCAAGTAGTTTGGTGCGTATATTTTCAGATACAATGATGGCCAAAGCAACAAAAATAAGACTTGAGTTGCAACAAAATTGTGCTTTAGAAGGAAATAATAATACATGGATGAAGTCAGGGTGCAGTGAATTGCCAGGTAAAATTTTATTGCCACATTGTGTGCCACTCAAGTGCTTCTCTCGCTTAGTCTTGGCCATCTTATTCTGATATTCCCTGCGGTAAAGGTGCGAGGTCAGGCTGTTCTGACTGCTGGACAAGGACAGGTGCTGTGACAGAAGGTCTACAGGGCCATGTCTTTCTTACACCTGCTGTGACAACATGACAGTGCGCCTGCACAGTTACAGCAGATGTTGGCAACGTTCAGGAGAGGGAGAGTGACTATATGCTACGTCAAACATGACAGCATTATTTAGAGCTTGTTCATGACAGGAGTACAAACCCATTAACACTCATAACTGAACGCAGGCATCTCACTTTTATATTTTACTCAGTAAAAATTCCTCTACTGTACTAATGCACTTTGGCAACTCTGGTTTTTTGAAAGCGGTTGCTACTTACTCTCCTGTCCCCTGTCCTTGTTTTTGAGCTGCTGGAGTTTGTATTCCCGCTGCTGCTTCTCAAGCTCCTGCTCATGACGCTGCTGCTCCATCTTCCTCTGGTGCTCCAAAAGCTCCTGTTGGTGCTTGAGCGCCAGTAAATCCTGTTGGTGCTGGTGGAGAGAGAGGCAAGACTATTGAAGAAAGAAAAAGTACAGGGAGACGGTGGGTAAAGGACACTACATAGGGTGGGCAAAAAATAATGATGTTGTTTTGACAAGGTGCAGCCAAGGCCTACTGTAAAGAATCAATGATTTATACATTAGCTATTCTAAAATCCAATAATGAGTGCCAGATTGGAGAGCACTGCATTGGAGAGAGTAATTTTCATGCCAGACTGATCGTCCTCATTGGCTGATTTTGTGGTTGTGGCAACACCAGTGAGGCTTTTTTGCAAAGTGAGTGCATACAAAATTCACACACACACACACACACACACACACACACACACACACACACACACACTTTATTGGGGCCAAGGTTCCCATGGAGATGACCAGATCAAATTACACCACCATACTCCCATCACTTAAGTGTACACATGCTTCCTCCTGTCCTTCACGAGGTGCATTTCTGCTGAGTACTGTCCTACAGTAGCTGTTTCCAAGGAAGGGCTCCCTACTCATCCCTCATCCCCACACACGAGAGGAGAGGGGAGGAGAGGAGACGACTCACCTTGATATGTTCCTGCAGCTGGACTTCATGTTGTCGGGACAGCTGTTCATGCTGCCTCTGGAACTCAGCGATCAGTTGCTGTCTCTGAAACTGCTGCTTGTGTTTGAGAACGACCAGCTCCTGCTGCAGCTGCTGCTCCTGGTGGTCTGAAGGAGATTTTTAAGACATTATCGTTCAGAGCGTCTGGGGCGAAGGGTGCGTTTGTATCAAAAGCCATGAGGCAACATTTAACCACAAGACATGACAAGCAGAGATCATCCCCACTTACTGATGACTGGCCCACGGCCTGGCTCAGAGGACGCGGGACAAGCTGTGGAGGTGGGCGGTCTAGGGTGTGGTTGGGGAACCAGGCCGAAGGAAGGCTGCTGGTGGTGGTGGTGGTGGTCCACTACACGCAGGTCCATGGGAAGGATGGCTGTGGTGGTGGTGGGCGCCTGCATGGGCAGTGCTGCAGTGCTCACGTCCACTGGAGGAGGAGGCCAGAAAGGCGGTGGGGAAGGAGAGCGAGGATGAAAGAGTGGGGGAAAGACACACATAAAGATGGAGTTTGTTTAGAAATCAAGTATTTACAATGCAGATTTCTAGACTCAAATCACTGTGTGAAGTTGCATATCCCAGGCTAAAACTTGCTGCAAAACTGCAAAAAACATACTCTAACAGGTCAACACACACACAAACGTAGTCCAATCTTTTTATATAAAACACACAAACAAATTTAAATACATACAAAAAGGAAGACTTGCAGAATATGTCTGCTTTCCACTGTTAATACTCTATATGTAAAGATCACCATCTTAGCCCCAAAATATGCCTCTGTGTACAACATGTACGACTCTGTGCGTGTGTCTGTGCCGTGAAGATTTTGACCCCAGCAGCAGATTTGTCTCAGAGGGTTTTGGAATTCAGCTTGGCAGGAAATAAATTTAATTCTTACTAGTGTTGAGTTGGAGATCCTCAACACGGCTAAAAGCCCAGTCTCCCAGGGGAGTTATTAAAGAAAAAGACTTAATTCATGTAATTTTCTTCTCAGAATATCTGTTTATAGTACAAGTCCAAAATGTTTAATACCCTTTGACAGCAGCCAAAATACCCTGTTCTCTCTGATCCACGTCCAAGACACATGCGCATGTGTTACATCAGCAGTCTTGACTGTTGCACTGAGCGTTACACTTCATATTGGTTGTGGTTGCTTGTAGTTGTTGGCAAACTAGGGACTTAAGCCTGTTTTAGAGTTGTACACATTGGGTAAGAGCATTAGCAAACCACTAAAAAACACAAAATGTGTCTGTGGTTAAGACAGGTGGAGATCGTCAGAGTGTGTGCTGTGGTGGGAGCAAAGTGTATAGGACGCCTCCATAATTGTTTACTGTTAACTGTTTACATACATCCCTACAAACATCATTCCCAGAGAAGCCCTTTGCACACACAGATTTTCTGTATACAAATGACAAAACAGACAAACACACACACGCACACATACTTATACGAGTAGAATGATGAAACATGGCAGCAGAGAGCAAAAACAATCCCCCTGCAACATGAGTTTTGCAGCAGGGATTTGCTGACACGCATATAGACTTGCTGTGTGTGTTTGTGTAGGTGTGTTTCCACTTTGACTGTGTACATGTGAGTAGTAACACTACATGTATTGCTTATTGCAAGTGCAATGCTGACAGTGTGCTTTATGTGTGTGTGTGTGTGTATCTTCTACAAAAAAAGCTAAAGTTGTGTCTGATGTTAAAGGAGGATGGAGGGGTGGATTCCCAGGGCCATCACACATCTGAGAGGATGTACACAATACGCCCAAAATTCACACACTCTCAGCATCTGTCACAATCAAACACACAGGGTTAGACATTTCATTCTAACACAAAAAGGTCACTGGTATGAGTCATGTCAGGCAAGACACTGAAGCCTCCCTTGCACACTTAAAAAAGTCAAAGTGCCTGATGACTGTTCGTGTTGCATTCCTTATGTTACATTCAATCTGCATCATTTTTTCTGCTTTATCTGAATAATCCGGGGAAGTAGTACAGCACTGTAGAGCTGTTGAAACATGGATACTAAGAACAAACACAGGATAAGCAATATCCCTGCATCAACATTGTTGACATGCAAAAACCAGAGTATTAGTGCAATCAGATTATTTCTCCAAAACAAGCAAACAACACTGCAGCTTACACACAAACAGTAGTATAACCCAGCAACACAACACTAGGGAAACAAGATAAAATGCTAACAAAATCTAAAAAAACACTTTAAAGCCTTCATATGTAACTAGAATATGTCTATGGCATGATTTAAATACTTAAGCCCCCCCGTTTGGCGTGACAAACTCAAGCAACCAGATCAATTTGAGATTTGTGCTTGATATCTGAACTCAAAATCAAATCCTCCTGTGTATCATTCAGTCTTTTCTGATCAATATCTGCTCCGTAGAGAACCAGCTTGCACCATGCCAAGCCCTCTGCCAGTTATCAATACCCTAAAACCAGTGGAGAACATCTCTGACCTATCACGGATGTCCTGGCATCCCCAGTGACCAATGAGGTGGTGATGGAGTCGCAGTTACTTGCTGAGATAGCCAATGACATCTTTGGTACTGGGCAGGTTTTCAGTGCGGGAGGAAACTTAACACCACCCAACGGGACAGAAGGGGGAAAAGAAAGGGTGTGGCCAGGCCAGACATGCTGGTGCTTCACTGGTGTGTGTGTGTAATTATATCACTATACTTGTAAGGACTTATTTGAAAGCTGGACATTAGAATTTTTGCTTGGACACTTAAGTTGAAAAGATGAAAGAGCAAGGCTTAAGCCAAGGGTGAGAGTTGGATTTATAGAGTCAACAGCAATCCAGCTCACGTGTCGTGATGATAATCTAAACATACACTGACTGTTTGTGATGCGGATAAAAGCCAGCTGCTTTTATCAACATTTATTTTGCAGTTTTATAAATTTTTAAGGTCAGGCATGTGCTGACGAGGGGCCATGTGCGTGTTAAAATGATTCCTGGATCTCTGACATTTGTCACGTCCAGATCATTAAGCATACAGAAAGGGAGCCACACTAGAAAACGCCACTGTTTTTCATTCTCGCTCTCAACAGCCTGAGCCCATCATGCGTGTCATCCAAACAGTCTTTCCCCTTCCACCTCACATATGCTATGCACACACATGCCGGTCAACTGTTTACACACATATTTAATAAGCAGTAAACATCAGGGACGGACAAACAAAACTTTTTGTTGGGTCAGTGCACTTCAATGTGCCACTCCATACATTGAGACCAATTCAGAGGGACCTCGGCGCCAGTTTCTCAGTAAACATGCTATAGGCTTCAAAAAGGCTGTTTGTTTTCACAGACAAATTGGGCTCCCAGCACCAAAATGACAAAAAAAACCAAAAAACACTTCCACGCAACAACAAATCAACAAACACTAACAAATCGCATGCAAGGCCCGAGTAAAGTCTGCTTCCTTGAACAGTGGCTTGTAATTGAGAAAGATTTAAACAGTAAGCTACATAATAAAAACATATCAAACACAAACAATTACAAAGAGGGTAAAAGATAATGAAGTGTCATGATTCAAACATGATGACAAACAGGTCAGATTGAGTGTCTCTGTCAGCTAAAGACACCTAAACTACTGTGTGCCTTTGTGTCTGTGACAAGAGGTGGTCTGAGCACATGAAATTGCAGTCTTAACCTCATGCCAAAACAGTTACCAAAATTGTCACCTGATCTGAATAAACCAACTAAGCTGTAGCACTACACGCACCAAGATGGGGTCAGTTTTAACTGGAGCCATGAATTAAACAGGCACAAGAAGTACAAAAACATAAGCTTACGCTTGACAAAAAATGGAACTGCACCTGCGCTACAAAATTTTATTTTCTGGCATACATTTGTATTGTTTTTCCATTTGCAGTATAATGTAAGCTATGTATAATAGGGCTGCAACTAATGGTTATTTTCTTTCTGTTGATTATTTTCTCAATTAATCTATAAGTTGTTTCGTCTATAAAATGTCAAAAATAATACAAAAATGGTACAAAATGTCGATCAGTGTTTCCCAAAGCCCAAGGTGATTTAAAATGTTTTGTTTTGTCCAAAAACATTCAGTTTACTGTCACAGAGAAGTAATGAAACCAGAGCACACAAGAAGCTGGAATCAGATAATTTTTCTTGAGTCAAAACAATTTATCAATCATCAAAAATAGTTGGTACTTAATTTAATAGTTGACAATCAATTATTCGATTAATCATTGCAGCTCTAGTGCATAAAGGGGACAGCAACCGTGCCCAAACCCTGTTTCTCCATGGGGACCAATTAAGTAAATTAAAATCTCCAATTTCTATCTATATGTTTTATTCTGTTAACATTGCTGATCGCTTACAGACCAGTGAGCAATGGCCGGCTGCAAGGCTGAATGAAGTAAGGCAGAAAAAAAACCTAATTACCGCCACTTATCCTCAAGCTGAGGGGCTACAAGTGCAGGTGGCACAGAGGGAGAGAGATGAGAGGAAGAGGGAGGTGGTGTAAACACTGCTCAGACCAGATACTCAGAGGTGAACCACACTGCATAGCAAATTAACACTGTACTAAGTGAGAGCTACCGCCATCTGCAGACTGCACTACACACAGAGGTATTTAGGAACTTGAACCTTTTGATAACCTTGATGTATTTATGTGTTAACAGTATGGCTTGTTTTTAAATTCAAAGTCAAAAAGAGCCTTTGGATCAAATGTTTTAGAGTGTAGATTTCTTTCAGACTATGCAAAAGTGGTGTATGACATGAGACATGGAGATACATGATTCTTCAAAATTAACATTTATCAAAACCCACTGTTGTTACTTGATTAGGTATATTCTTTCTAAACTTTACAGGGCTGCAACTGAGATCCCAGATCCCAATTGGTTAGCCAGTTCTGCTCTGGATAATTTAAAGGATGTTTTAAAGTGCTGTCACAAGGTTTGATAGCACACAGGAAACACATCTGTGTCACATCTGACTGACAGTTCTCTGTCAAGCTGACAAAGGCTCTGCAGGATCACAGTACTGTTACAGTTGTACCATGCAATCGCCAGAAGCGAGTTTACAGTAAACAAAGCTTTGTGAACGGCAGCAGACTAACAGGGCAACATACAGCACCCAGTAGGGTGCAGGCACCTGTGAAGTAATTAGCCCAGCTTACGAGGATGGCTCGCTGGGAATGTGGCATGGGGTAATGGTGCTCAGCCAACGAGAGGAGAGGTGGATGCACATGCTGACTCACCCGACGGCACCGGACACGATAGGCAAACATTCCTGCTGCAGGCATGGCCGAGCAGGTCACAATACAGGCTGACATTTTACAGTGAGTGGCACAGAGAGACTACAAAGACTACAGAGACTACAGAGAGTAAACTGCACAAAATCATATCCTTGCCTCATTGTCACGTGAAAAATTTAAATCCCATTGTTC